TATGAAGCAAGTATAACCCTCATGCCAAAACCAGAGAAGAACGTTACTAAGAAAGAAAACTATAGACCAATATCCCTCATGAACATAGATGCAAAATTCTCAACAAAATCCTAGCCAACAGTATCCAGCAACACATCATGATCAAGTGGGATTCATATCAGGGATGCAAGGATGGTTCAACATTGGTTTGCACAATTCGCATTTAACACATAACAGAAAGTGAGTGTCTGATTCCTAATTTCTATATGAAAAGAAGAGTTAGGTATCATGCCCAGAGTCAGACCTCGCCTAGTCAGTTGTAGCTTGGAATCTGAACACAGATTTATGATTGCAGAGTTCACACGCTTTCTGCCACAGTACATTGCTTATATACTCTTATCAGATTTTAATTCAACAACAGCTCTAAATTCATGTGAACATAGAATTAATCTTGAGAAGCATTATGAAATATGCACTCTATTATGAAAATTACATCTAATTGTGAAAGATGGCACTAATATATAAGTACTCAATTATAAAACCAATTAGGTGAATGAATCATTTTGATTCTCAGTTACTAGAATTTCTATCTGTGACTTTGCCTTAGCACTGCTATGTTTTGTTTTGTTTTATTAATAACATTGTTAAGTAACAATAGGACACTAGTCAATACCAAGTTCATTTAATGCCAAACTCTTTGCCATTACATTTTCATTGTATTCCTACTGTTAAAGGTGTTTACATATCAGCTGATGATACTGTGACTTGTTATGTTTGTTTATTACCTTTCAGGGCCCAAGTACCACACTTAAAAACTAATTTCACTTGGATTTAGATATAAAATACTATATTATATGAGGGGCTTTCTATGAACTTTTTGAAGTCTCTTGTATTCTTCTTATAAAAGAGAAGTCCTACAAATATTGTGTAAAACCATTATTGTAAAAGCTTAAGAAAAATACCCATACTAAAAGGAGAAAAACAAAATTCTCTGCTGGTTACCGGTAGTGGGGGCATGAAGGGAGGGAACAGTAGAGCACAGGGTAGGGGGCAGACATATCATAAGTTCTGGTGTTGGGAAGGGCAGTACACAAGAAGGGGGAGGAGGATGGAAGAACAAGGTAGGGGAACACTGAGACAGATTTGCATGGGCTATGGAACAAAGGTAACTAGTGATATATGCTCAACCTTGGAACAACAGGGCTCTGTGATCCAGGGATTGAGACTTAGTATGAAGAGGGGAAATAATGTTAAGATGCTTGACTATTTTATGAATATTGGTTTCCCTTGCCTACTATTGTAAAATAGACACTTGAGTGGCATAGAAAGGACTATCGGGAAACATGATTACAGAAAGTTTGTAAAAAAATTTAAACAATAAAAAAAGAGAGGTCCTAATAAGTCATTGTTTTTATTTCGTGGTGTGGTGCTGTGGGCTAATGCGTCAGACTGCAAGGTCGGTGGTTCAAGCTCACCAGCTGCTCCTTGGAAACCCTATATAGGGTTGCTATGGGTCGGAATCAACACGGCGCTAAACAGCAACAACATCTCTACATAACTGTTACCTACCAAGTTAGGAGAGGCTGGCTGCATGTAACACTCGTTTGTTTTGTTGTTAAATGCTGTTGAGTCGTTTACGACTCATAGCGACTATGTGTAGGGTTTCTGAGAAGCAGCTGGTTAGCTTGAACCTCCAACCTTGCAGTTCAAATGACCTTGCAGTCCAGCGTATTAACCCACAGAACCACACCAATACTCGTTTAGAGGTGAATAAAGGGATGAGAGAGGTGAAAGATAATTTATTTTTTAAAGTCTTTATGGGAGCAGAAAGCCTCATCCCACAGAGCAGCTGGTGAGCTCAAACCACTGACCTTGTGTTTAGCTGTCCAGTGTTTATCCTACAGAGTCACAGTACTCCCCCTATCTTTATATAATCAATACCAGCTTCAAATATTTCATATGTTCTTTGCTTTGAGACCAGTTATGCTGAATAATGTTGAGTTATAAATTTTGTTCTAAGAGACTAACTCTTAAGACAGTAAGTTCTTATATTCATAAGCACACATTGGCTTCAGTGACACTAGTGATTAACAAATTATTAGTGACCAGAAGCAGTAACAGAGAGGAAATGGAGCCACTATGCTAATGGCTGAATAACTGAGAATTAGGTAAGTAAGAGCACCAAATGTTGCTCATTGGGACACAGAAAGAAGGAAGTTTTATTCTTGAGTGTGAGGAGGCTGTGTGTTTAAACAAGTGTTAAGTGTAGTAGTTCATATCATCAGGAGGAAGGAACCAGTGGAGATACCATAGGGGCAGAGTAATTGTCAAGACCTCAAAGAACCAATAGGAGATGGGAAGGATGAGAGTCTAAGGTCCAAATGAAGAAGCTAATTTTATACAGAAGGAGGGAGGAGTCGATTCAAAGCTCCAGAATGAACATAATGGAGAAAAAATGGCAAGGGAGGAAGGAAGTTCACATGAAGAGGCTTGGCCATCAGCTGCTAGTTGAAATGGCAGAGTATGTTGGGGTTAAGAAGGGTGGGGAGGGAATTTCTGAACAGCTCCCTGTAATGTCCATCTCTTTTAGTGAGTTCTATGAGCCTGAGGCATTAATGATGGAAGAAGAAGGGATGGTGATTGTCGGACTGCTGGTGGGACTCAATGTTCTTGATGCCAACCTCTGCTTAAAAGGAGAAGACTTGGATACTCAGGTAAAACTGGATTTTAGTCTAGATGGGATGGGTGCCACCCTCAGGCCAGGGCTTTAGATAGTATCTGCAGGCATATATTGAACCTAAGAAATGGGCAAGTGGCAAAGAACCCTTTAATAGACTGCAAGGTGCTTTGTTTGGACAGAAGGGCAGTAGCTGGGAGAGGCATCTACAATGAAAGGATGTTGGAGCTGTACCATGAAGTTGTCTAAGGAAGGGTGAAGAATTAGCAGGGGCAAGGTATAGAAACACACACAGAAAGTACAACATGTTTGGGAACAGGCAGACAGTTCTACCAAGACTGGAACACAGAGTGCTTGATGAGTGAAGTAAACGTAGAGGCTGAGCCCAGTTATTAGAGCTAAGTGCCATGCTGAAAGATTTATGTTGTATTCTTAGGGCTTTGGGAAGCTACTGGAGGTTCTTAAGCAGTACACTGAAATGATATCTGGATTAGAGAAAGAACTCTGTAGCAGACATTTTAGGTCATGAATTAGAAATGGCTAAAAATAGAATAGAGACAGCAAAAACTTGAAGAAGACCAGTCTACAAGTCCCAATCTAGAAGACATAGGATGGAGAATGGTGGTAGTTGTGGTGGTTGTGTGCCATGGAGTCGGTTCCAACTCAGAGACTCTGAATAGGGTTTCCAAGGCTGTAAATCTTTAAAAGGGCAAAAAGCCTCAGCTTTCTGCTGCAGAGTAGTTGCTAGATTCGAACTGCTGACCTTGCGGTTAGCCCAATTCATAACCCACTATGCTACCAGGGTTCCTTCTGAGGATGGAGAATAATAGGAAGATAGAATCAGGAAAGATTTGTGATGTCAAGGTAATAAGATGGGGCAGACAGTAAGTAAGTAAGTAAGCCGTAAGGGGTAGACTGCCTTGTGGGGAGACAACCTGCCATCTGTAAAGATGGACTTTCTTCCTGCATTAGAGCTGCTGACCAGGGTTGAGCCCCAGACTCCAGATGGCAGGGACTGCAGATGTCTGAGAGGAATATCCCTCACTTCCACCCCCTGCCCAGCCTTCTCCCACTAGAGCTTCCATGACCCCTCTAAGCCCATGTCAATTCATGTCTACCCACCCACCCACACCCCCATTTTAAAAGAAACTAAAATGCAACAGTGTGTGTGTGTTTATGTATATTTTAGAAAGAAATGTTTGGAGTTTGGGGGTGGGGGAAGTTTAACCAAAATATTCTGAATACACTATTTTTCATTTTTTCTTAAAATTTCACAAAATGTTCCACATAACTCTCTACTTTATAGAGATGTGTAAACTATTTTAAATGGCTGCATGGTATTCCATTTTATGAGTGTACCATAATTTATTTAGACTGTATCTTATTAATTTAGGTTATTTCCCTATTAAAAACAACCATCTTATAAAAATTCTTATACATCTTTGTACTCTTGTCCTTTTATTTCCTTGGGATAAATGTTGAGATGTTGTGTCAAAATATACACATTCCACATTTTGATTGTACTGTTGTCAAGTGCCATCGAGTCAGTTCCAACTCATAGTGACCTTGCATAGGGTTTCCGAAGAGCAACTGGTGGGTTTGAACTACTGACCTTGTGGCTCACAGTCCAGTGCTGATCCTACAGTGCCACACCTACAAAATTGATCTCCAGAAAGATATTGAATTTTACACACTTACTGGCAGTAAAAACTCATTTCCGCCTGCAGACACTGGACATGAGGAACACTTGTTCTTCAGTGTAGTAGGCCAAACAACCCATCACTCAAATGTACTCTTCAAAGAGCGAGTGAAGTCAAGTACATTTTCATATTTTCTTTGCTATTGGTAGTTCAGCTTGTGTGACTACCCGATCACAGCTTGGGGGGGTGGGGGGCATGCTATAATTTTTTTTTTTTCCTAGCATCTCAAGAGAATTTTTTATAGTCAAATTTAAACAGATTTTTCCTTTATGGTTTCCTACAAGATATTGTAATTAAAAAGTGCTTCACCATCTAAAACATTACCTAATTTTTTAAATGAAGTATGTAGTTTTTATAAATATGTAATCTATTTGTCATTTTTTTGCCTTAGTGTGGGAATTTTTTTTCTTTTTTACAAATGGTAAACCATTTTTTTCAATATTATTTAATAAGCACACTATTTTTCTACTAATTTGAAATTCTATCTTTTACATATATGAAATATTCCGTAGTACATGTAGTTTTATTTCTGGACTCTCTGAGTGGTCCCTGGATCTCTTTAATTTCTATTCCAATGACACCTTCTTCTAACTACTACAGCTGCAAAGGATGTTTTACAGTCGAATAATTCAGCTCTGCTGCTTTGTTCTACTTCTTTTCCAGATATTCTTAGGCTGTCAATTCTGCCAGATAAACTTGAAAATCATTTCATCAAATTCCACAAAGATTCCACTGAGATTTTTATTAAGTAATGTTTGTTACTTTCTTCAAGTTGGTTCCAAATCATAGTAACCTTGATTTGGAATTCTAAGGAAATCTTATACATTAACCTTGGGATTAGGACTCAGGTGCTGTCCCTACAGTGTCACATCAGGACTCCATATGCCTAAGTAAAGGTCACACTGTTGTTGTATCAGTTACCATTGAGTTGGCTCTGACTCATGGTGACCCCATGTACCACCAAGCAAAACTCAGCCCAGTCCCACACCATTGTCACCATCATCACTGTCAGGCTTCAATCTATTGTTACCTTCTAATTAGGTGACTCATCCACCATCTATACTGTTGTGGTCCATAGGGTTTACATTGGCTGATTTTCAGAAGTACGTCATCAGGCCTTTCTTCCTACTCTTAGTCTGGAAATGGCACTGAAACCTGTCTATCATAGGTGATCCTGCTGGTATTTAAAATAACATGTACGCCACCACAGTATGACAAATTGGCAGATGAGTAGTAGAAAGATGAGAATAGTGGTATCTATCCTTACCTTAAGTGATGTTTTTAGTTCGTCACCATAAAGTATGATGTTTCCTGTTGATAACTGATGGATCCTCTTTTTCATTCAAATAATATCCAGGCCTAACCCTTCTACCTTCTGAGACCAGCAAGATTGGGTGCTTTCAGGGTGATATGGCCATAGACTGATGGATCATCTTCCTTGTCTTTAGGAAGTTAGAAAGTACAGTTGGCAGAAGGGAGCCTAGCGGTACAGTAGTTAGTGCGTTCTGCTCCTAACCAAAAGCTTGACAGTTTGAACCTACCAACCACACCTTGAGAGAAATATGTGGCAGTCTCCTTCTGTAAAGATTTATAGCCTCAGAAACACTATGGGGCAGTTCTACTCTATTCTGTGGGATTGCTATGAATTGGAATCAACTCAAGAGTAGTGGGTTTGATTTGCAGAATTTGTGCAGTAAATGTATTTATAACAACAACCAAAAAAAGAATAGCCTCTGGGGTTGTTTCTTCTTGTTGTTAGGTGCCATCGAGTCAGTACCAACTCATAGCGACCCTATGCACAACAAAACAAAACACTGCCCAGTCCTCACAATTTTTGCCACGTTTGAACCCATTGATGCTGCTACTTTGCTAGTCTATCTCGCTGCAAATCTTCTTCTTTTTCTCTCACCCTCCACCTTACCAAACATGATATCCTTCTCCAGTGACTGGTCCCTCCTAATTATATTTTCAAAGTCTGAGAGACAAAGTTTGGCTATCCTGGCCTCCAAGGAGCACTCTGGCTGCACTTCTTCTTACACAGATCTGTTTGTTTTTTTTTGGAAGCCCATGGCGCTTTCAATATTCTCCTCCAACACCATACATAACTCAAAAGCATCAATACTTCTACAGTCTTCCTTATTCACTGTCCAGCTTTTGCATGCATTTGAGGTTATTGAAAATACCATGGCTTGAGTCAGGTGCACCTTAGTCCTCAAGCTGATATCTTTGCTCTTCAAAACTCTAAAAAGGTCTTGTGCAGCAGATTTGCCTAATGCAATACGTTTGATTTCTTGATTGCTGCTTCCGTGAGTGTTGATAGTTGATCCAAGAAGAATAAAGTCCTTGACAATTTCAATCTTTTCTCTGTTGATAAGAATGTTGATAAGAATGTTGTTTATTGGTCCAGTGGTGAGGATTTTTGTTTTCTTTACATTGAGATGCAATCCACACCTAAGGCTGTGCTCTTTTATCTTCATCAGTAAATATTTTAAGTCCTCTTCACTTCAGCAAGCAAGGTTGTATCATCTGCATATTGCAGGTTGTTAATGAGTCTTCCTCCAATCCCGATGCCACGTTTTTCTTCATAGAACCCAGCTTCTCAGATTATTTGTTCAGCATACAGGTTGAATAAGTATGGTGAAAGAAAACAATCCTGTCGCACACCTTTCTTAATTTTAAACCATTCGGTGTTCCCATGTTCTCTTGGTCCAGGTACAGATTCCTCATGAGCACAATTAACTATTCTAGAATACTCATACTTTGCAGTGTTATCCATAGCTTGTCATGAGCCACATAATCAGAAAGCCTTTGCATAGTCAATAAAGCACAGGTAAACATCATTCTGGTATTCTCTGCTTTCAGACAAGATCCAAGGGATATCAGCAGTGAAATCCCTTGTTCCATGTCCTCTTCTCAATCTGACTTGAAACTGTGGAAGTTCTCTGTCAATGTATGCTTACAGCTGTTCCTGTATTACCTTTAGTAAAACTTTACTAGCATGGGATATCAAAGATATTGTCCGATGATTCTGCATTCTGTTGGGTCACCTCTCTTTGGAATGGGCACAGACACAGATCTCTTCCAATCAGTTGGCCAGATAGTTGCTTTCCAAATCTCTTGGCAGAGATGAGTGAGTGCCTCCAGTGCCACCTCACTTTCTTGAAAGATTTCAGTTTTTATTGCATCAATTCCTGGTACCATGTTCTTTGCCAATTCCTTCAGTGCATCTTGGACTTCTTCAGTATCATTGGCTCTTGATTATATGCTAACTCTTGAAGCGATTGAACATCAACCATTTGCTTTTGGTACAGTGACTCTGTGTATCCATCCATCTTCT